GAAGTGACATGAGATTGGGTCCCCTAGCGCCTTGTTCTGGAACTGCAGGAGCATTTGTTGAAAAAAATTTGAAGGACGATAACTCAAGATCCGGTTGACGTATTGTCATGATTTTTGGCATGTATGTAGTTGAAGTGATGCTTGACATAATCAGATGGCAATTATGCAAATCAGGAGCTAATTTGCATAATTAATGAGGAAATTCTATAAATCTGCTTTGTTCGATAATAGAACTATTAAACACTTGTGACATCTACTTGAGAACGAGAAAAACATCTGAGGATATAGATTATGTAAATGAGAACCTAATTTGCATAATTAATGGCAAATTCTTATAATTCCATAGTTGTCACTGCTGCACCCAATTTCATACTTGCCACATTTGGAAGTAAAGTGAAGTGAAGATCAATAAACATAATTTATTCAAATCATGACCTCATTTGCATAATTTATGAGGAAGTGCTATAATAGCCTTTTTGTTATGATAAGGCTGTCATTGGATGGAGAATATGATCAACTGATATAATCCATGCAAATGAGGCTCTTATTTACAAAATAAATGATTAAAATTGTATAATTTGTCACCCGCAAGAGTTAACACCATTTGGCGAAGGTATGAGATCGTGGAACTCTTGTTTGAGTTTTGTATTCATTGAGTATTTCAATTGATGTGAAAAAGTTATAATGGAGTTTTCTTTTCAATTAACAGTACTTTTTTTAGAGATTATTCATTTTCATTTACACTAAAATAGCAGAGAAATGAACAAAAAAGCTCCATATTCAGCCGCCCGTACAAGCCGTACTAGGAATGTTTGCCTCAAATTGAACATATGCAAGAGTAAAACGGTTCTTTCCCAATCATTCCGTATAATTAAGGTAGTCTGAGTGAGCCCCAAGGTCAAGAACAAGAGCAAGGGAGACCTGAAGTAAAACCCCCATAAGAGCCCATCGCGTTTCGCAAGTCGCGAAATGCCGAAATCTGGGAATGAGCGAGGCTTCTTTACCGAGATACGGCCCTTTTCTGAACGGGTGCTCCAAAACGGGGGTATGATAGGGGATGAATATCCGCTTTTCCAATTTTAGAAAAATGAAACTTTTTACGTGTTTCGGGGCCCTAGGTCTAAGAGTATACTTCCTATAGTGTCTATTATATTCCCTCTTAATTCCTTCATCTGAAGTTTCTTTATTCCGGAGTTATTCGTAAAAATGTGATTTTGCGATCAGCTGATCGCTTGCAGAAGTGGTCACAATCTTTGCAGAAGTGGAGTTTTTGCTGTTAAAGACATTACCATATGAATGAAAACCAAGCAGATGTCTTTGGGGAAGACTGGCCGAATGAAAGCGTTGTTCATGTTTTTAGCAGCCTGGAATGATAGACTAGGCGTACTTTTAAGGCTTGACGTGTTTTCTGCAGTTACAAACAGGCTAGAAAACGATACAGATGCTCCAAAAACAAGCGCGAAATGCTGAAATAGGATTCTTGTATCTGCTTGAAGATTACAAATACGGCCTTCAAGCAGATGTCGGGGTAACTGTTTTCTGAGTGACAGCCGGGCTTCTCTGGCGGTTTCTTGCCCGTTGTAACCCTACAAATAGTTGAGATAAAGTCCAAAGTTGTCAAAAACAAACAGACGATGTTCAGAAATATCTTAAATCTACACATTACGCACAAGGTATGAAAAATCCGAATGTAGGTGGCGCTTCGATGGGCGGACATGGTGTGACATGCGCTCTCTCCGCGCTGCCTGTAAATCGTTCGTTTTTAGGTCAACTGGTGTCTCAAATGTAATTCTAAATGTACGTAAAGGTGTCCTGTCCTACTTAAGAGTGCTTTCGCCGGCATTAAAACTTGTTTCTTGTATATTTCACCTTTTCCAAGTCGGTACTACATACCCTATTATAGCCTTAACTGCAGTACCGCTCCCGGTCGCAACTAGAAAATGCACAAAGGAGACCGCAAAATTGCCAAATCTCGGTCTTTTCGGGAATGGGGAAAGGGCGAAAGACTCGCAAAGGGGTTTTCAGTTTTGAAGCCTATTTGACCTTGAACTCGTAACTATGACCACCTAAAATGAAGGATCACAATATTCAAGACTGTTAGCAATGAGGTATTGGGCCATAAATTATGTTTCCCTTCCGTTTTAGTAATAAAGGTGGCCGAGTGCATATCTCTTACAAATTAACACGTTCTAAAGGGCTTCAACACCCCAATTCCAATCCTATTGTGTGAAACAACTTGACAGTGAACAGATGCAACGGTGTTAATATCTGTTTATCGGTCAATAGATCCAATTTTCCTTTGAAAATGTTATAAGGCGTGATTAGGACATAACTGTGCAATATAACCTTGGACGCTAGGAGGAGCCCATTGGATAGCCCAGTGGGATTTTGTTAACCGAACCACTATGTGTGTGTGCGTTTCTACATACTTGTGGTCAGCATAACTTAAGAAGGCCTTTATGGATTGTAATGATATTTAATATGCTGGTAGGTCTTGGGAAGACAAAGGTCAAGATCAAATGCGGGCTTCCTGGTAGCTGACCTTGGTACTGAAGCAGAACTTCCGTTTATTATCTTTTGTTCTGCACATGCTGTGGCCTTGATTTTTTGGTGGCTGATAGATTTTCATGTCAGTTACAAGTGGTGTGTGTTTGGTCCACCTAGCAGCTTGTTCTGGAACTATAGGGGAGTTACCAGTGAAATTTTTCAAGGCAGATAAATAAAGAAAGGAATGACGAATTTTCATGATTTTATGCATAATGTACTTCTTAGGGCACAACCTATCATCTAAAGAAATGAGCACATAATCAAACGAGCACACAGAGTGATATTCAAATCTGGATTTTATTACATGTATGACAAAAATTCAACAACTTGCATATCTGTTGTATTAAGTGTGCTGTAATACTGCATAGCATCATTTTGTAAAAATTGTGCGGTATTGTGTTATTGGCTTACCGTATGTTACAATGAGTGTAACCCTTGGTAAACAAAAATTACATCAAACTACTCTTCAGCTGTCTTCTAAAGCATTACATATACATACAAAATATATCATTCATCAGATTTCAACATTTTTTTACAAAGAATACAAATGACAGGAGAAAAATACAAACTGCATCTTGTTGTACATTATTTTCAGACAAAACATTTACATTGATTTACATTCCATGTGTGGAATAATTACTTTGTACATAGCTTACATGAGTTTGAACACTTTGTGTTCTTTTATCAAACAATATTCACTGAATCATACATCACACTTTCTGTAAGAAAACACAAATTTGACTTTGTTTACTGAATTCGCAGTGAACATTAATTTTTATACACACTATCTACTTTAAAATTTTCAAGATGTTTTGAAAATATACAGGACTTTCATGATACACTTACATACTGAGCTTAATGACACAAGCACTACTGATATGACATTTTATGTCAAAATACTTTATGCTTAATTTTATGTAAAGTAATACCTTTACATCCAACAGGTTACTTTTTCTTCAATCTAATCACTTACGTCCTTAAAATGTTGATGGTGATATTCTTCTGCATAGAAAGAATTATTGTAATTTGATACCATAACTCTTGGTGATGATAGTGAAGAAACACTGGGCACATATTTGGTCCAGCAGCTTTGCAGCGTACAAGTTCTCAAAAAACTAACAATAACCTGAGTATCAAATCTGATAATAGGACCAACCACAAAGGATTTTAATAGGCCTGAGAATTAAAGACCATAAGGCAGCAATAACACTGAAGTACAACTATTTTACAGTGAACGAAAAAATACACTCTTCTGATATGTTTAGGAACATCGAATCTTCTGTCACCAGCTAATCCAAATAAATCCCATGCATGGCAGCCGGTTTGGAACCTGGCAACACTGCTTGTAATAGTCTGTTCTTTTGAGAACCAGATATCATCCATCCATTAAGTCACGATATGATATGTCATTAGGATACTAGATAGAAATAGAACAGTGTTTGCAGCATTTATTCACATATCTGACAAATAATCTCATAACGACTATTGCATTGCAGTGGCTGGCTGTTACTTCACATTCCCTCACACATCAGTATTAGCAGATATGTCATATGACATACGTGTACATCATAACATGTACATGTATTTGTAGTCTTAAAGATATCGAAAAATAAAACACATCTTATTTTAAAGTTATTAAATGCCACAAGAAAAACTTTGTAGCTTTTTCTCTAACCTAGTATCTGATTTTGGTCTCGAGAGTAAAATGAGCCAACGTGAATGTGTTTTCTAGTTCAATCACATCCTTCTGTCCCACACAGGATGGAGAGATTACAATGTAAGTACTGAGTAAAAGCTATGCAGCTTTTGCCTGGCCGTCTGCACTACCCAGCCCTACTGCAGCGGTGTCACATCCAGCTTCCACACAGACAGGGGCTTGTTGGCGTAGTGAACACCTGCAGTTCTCCCACCCAACGCTACCACACTGGTCACACCCATACACGGCATGAACGCGCTGGCAACTTCTGAGTCATCGTAAGCCGAAGTTGGAGTAAAACCAGAGGTTGAAGGAAGTCGGGATGTAAGAGAGTCTTTTGATAAGGAGTCCCTATCACTTGCAGCAGAAGAGGTGACTGTCAAAGAGGAAGATGACGAACTCAGTGGCAGGGAAATGCTGTTGTTGAACCCCTGATTTTCACTTGAAGAAGAAACGTTTGTTGCTGTCAGTCTGTGTACCGGAACTTTCCTCCTCTCGTTGTGGCTTGTCGGTTCCTTAGAACTTTGCGTGAATCCATAAGAGTTTAGCTTGCCGAGTGAGCCAGTCCTAGAGTCATTCAAATCCTGTCTGTTGCTATGGAGATCTTGCCTGTTGCCATAGGAATCACGCCTGTTGCCATGGGAAGCTCTGCTGCCATGGTAACGACTGAACTCTGCATCCAAGGCCGCGGAGTCCTCCAAGTCCTCAAGCTGAAGGTCTTCCAAACTCTGCTGAATTTCGGCGCCGACGAAAGCTGCATTTTCTATCCCGACCTTTTCGTGTTTCAGCGTTTTTCTCTTCCTGTTCACGATCCCATCGGGAAAGCTCTGTGAGTTCTTCATGCTAGGCACTAGTAGGTTCCTTTCGCTGCTGCCGCTGTCTGGACACTCGTCTACAATAATCTCCGGAGTGGCGGAAAACTGCAGCCTGCTGCTAATCTGGATGGACTCCACAGAGCTTGTCCGGATGAACCCTGGTATGGAGGCCTTACCCTGTCCACCGGCATCACCCTTACCCTGTTCCTGCACGACATCTCCCAGCATACCCTTAGACGGGGTGCAAGCTTTCTCAGTCTCTTCCATCCTTAAATCCTTTCTAGAATCAACATCCTCGTGTCCTGAATTTTCCTTGGCCTGCCAGATGTTTTGAGTCTGAATATCGATGTTGGAATTGTCGCTACACCAGCCTACGGGGCTCATACGATGTAGATTTGCGTCCCCCTCATCAAGCCTTTGTGGAGAGATGTCGCGTTTTCTGCCATTTGGGAAAACCGGATGGATCCTGTTCCTGAACCGTTTTTCCTCCACAGAAGCCGGAGACGTCCGTGGTCGGTGGTCGTCGGGCGTCGGCCCCACGTGGTCGAGGAAGAACGGAACGGACCACGTGCGGGTGGCGGGGGTGGCAGCCTGGAGGTTGAAGGTCACCAGGGAGGTGAAGGTCAGCTGCGTACGGGGGGACGGCCACATCCTGTTGATGATGATCTTGTCCCAGGTCTGGTTAGCTGTAGAAACAATCAATCTATCAATCCATCAATCAGTCAATCAATCAATCAATCAAGCAATCAAGCAAGCAAGCAAGCAAGCAGGGTAGCATAGCTCTTGCCTAAGGAACCCAATCCTTGACCGACTCCAGTTGTTTCACATGGTGCCCAGTTCCTCCAACTTGCTACATAATCTAGTCCAACAACGCAGGGTGTCTGTTTCAGGACCATGGTGACAGCTGTTTGGTCTACCTGGTCATTGACCTTATGTGTTTGCAGAAGAAGAAACTGAGCAGCAAAGGTAATCCTAAATATCCCTCAGAAAGAAAAAAGAAACCCACCAAAGCTGAACCTCCACATGTCCTGCCTGAGTGTGCCTGTGCTGTCCTGACCTCCAAACACCAGCATACAGTGGGCAGCCTAGAGGGAGACAACAGGGGTAAGTGTACAAACCTGTCTATGAGGGTCATTTCTGTTCAAAAATATTATCAAACTCTCGTTTACTCCACAACCACCTACAAATGAACTTCCAAGGAACCCTTTGGACATGTCACCAGAGTTAGCACCAAATGGCTGCTGCTCTAGACCCTTGCAATTCAGCCCCACCAGATGTAAGCTCCTCACAATTCAACCCTTAGCTGTGAAAAGTGTAGTCGGCCCACCCAATAACAAAAAAAAATATCACCCACCTTCACTGCGCTGTGTCCGCTGAGCTCGGGTGGCCCCGACCTGAACCGTACACGACTCCACGCACGTTTCTCTGTCAAGAAAAGGGGAAGCCATCAGTCAATGTGAAACCTGAGGGCTTAGCTCAAAATGGGGATTTTTTATGGTCAAAGTTATGAACATTTGTCTTCAACCACCTGTTGATTCTAAACTATGAAACGACTAGGGGCGAGTAGAAACACAAAGTCCCTTGGCTGCTGGGAACTGAACCCGGGCCGCCAGCTCACAAACCCAATGCCCCAACCACCAGGCCAAAAGGTCTGGACCTGTTAGACAGGTCAGTTATTGGCACTTGAACCCCACTGTAACAATTATGTAGCGTAGCCTCACTGACTTGAAGATAAGAAATTTGGGACAAATTTTCATTGTACATGACTTTTTTTTTTAATTTACTTCATATTCACCACAAAACAAGGCTCTCAAATGTTTTGGGTCCTGAACTAGACAGTGAGGACAGATGCTTGTTGGCCTTAGACTTAATATTTTTTGTAAATTATGACGATAGATGCTTTTATTCATAGTACAGAATTTCTATTTAAAAACAGGTCTCTTACCAAAGTTCCACTTCCAGAGGTCACCTAGAGGGTGAAGGTTGTTCAACCCTCCGTACACCCACATGTTGCCATCATGCACCACTGCGGAGTGAGAGTGTCTGGGAAGGGGCGCCGGGTTCGTCTGGCCGTCCGAGCTGAGGTGCCAGTGCCCATTCTCTGTTCATGATTGAAAGATACAAGTTTAACACATTATTTGTGATTGAAAAATATAACGTTAACAAACACACACTACTTGTGAAGACTGTGTAACAGTGACAAAAACACTCAAGCTGCTCATCAAAGAATAGCTCAAGATTACGTAATATTACTAGTATCATCTTTGGGTATTTTCTTTGTCTTGAGCTTAATTTGGACACTGCATGTTAGATATATTAGATTGTTAGAATCATATATTGAAATGTCCAGGAATGGTCGTTAGAAAAATAGCTGCAGATGTACCAGTGACATCACATGAATATACTCTTAGACTAGAAAATGATGTTTGTTCAGTCTGTTGTTGTGTGTATCAGTTGTTGACATGTTTCCTTACCAAACACAAACGTCCACAGTTCGCCTGACGACCCCTTCAGGTCAATGTAGCCGCCATAGATGTGCATAGAATTGTGGGATATCACAGCCGTGTGGCAGCGACGACCAATGGGGATCTAGAATCACGGAAGGACAGAAAAACTTCAACTTGACAACCTTCTAAAGGTACGTACTTGTATTGAAGCTTCATTGAAATCACAATCAAAGGAAATTGTGTATGGATCAGTAGAAATTTTACAGCTTTGAATACCTGTACATATATCCAGAAAGCACTGCGCAGCTCATGAATGCAGTTTCTTGCATAATTTTTTTTCACCATTCAACAGTAATTTGGGACGGATTAGGCAAAATTTGCATAAGTACTGTAGCAAAGTTCCGCTATATGACGGTCATAATGCCTATAAGGGGCAATCTAAATAGAGAGATTTTGAATTGCCCCAAATGTGTCTGTTTGTCTCATTTGGGCACCTGTAGTGTTACCCACCTTGACTTCCGACTCAGGCTGGTGGTTTCTCCAGCTCCCGGCCTGGATGTTGTAGATCCACAGCGGCATCTCGCTGTCATCGCTGCAGCCCAGCGAGCCGCCGAACAGGTACAGCCGACCCTTGTACGCCACCATGGAATGTTCCTGCAGCAGTGACGGGGCCTCACCCTGTGATGGCAGGCTGGACCACTGGTTGGTTCCTGCAGATAAAAAAGAGAAAATTTCCGTCATGTATTGTGCATAGAGCTTTGGCAGAATGTCTGGCTTGAGGGCGTACTTGCATATTATAATGCTGGCATCCTGCCTATAGTGTTCAAATCTTGTGTCTGCAACAGGCAAAATTCTGATGCAATGTTGACGAAACATGCAACAAACAAAGAAAACAAACAAAAAACTGCAAAAACACTCAGGGTTTCGTATTGTGTTTGACCCTTAAAGCTAATGTGCAGATGTTTTCTGTCTTTGACCTTTACCACCTCTATCACAATAACCTCTGTATCTACACCTGTAAAGCGCATAACACTCTAAAAAAAGCATCCAGTCAACAGGTAAAACTGAATTTTCATGTATAAATAAATAAAAGCACACACAATTTGGAACGACAACCATTGAACATGGAAGCTAAAATAGACAACCAGTTATTATAGGACTTACGTAGGTCACACTGCCATAGATCCTTCCGTGTGGCCCTGACGTCCCGTCCTCCATACAGAAACAGGCTTCCATCATGCACACAGGTCGCATGCTTGCTCCTGTTGCAAGGAGCCTCCTCATTGGTTGGCACCTCTGACCAATGGTAGGACAGCTTGGTGCCACCTGTTGCCTTTGCAGAGGGATTGGCAGCGACATCTGTTTCTGGGTCCTGGGAATATGATCAAACAAGTTGTGAAAGTAGAATAATTACCAGGTGGATAAGGTACTTTTAGACATCATGAACTCACCTTTTAGACACACTTCTTAGTCTTAGACTTGAGATTTTTTTTAATATACCAATGTTTTGTAAATTGGTCTACAATTCAGTTGTTTTTAACTGCGAAGAACCAATAAATCCATCTTGAATCTTGAATCTTAGACATTCATATACATTCAAGAATATGAAAAGCAAGAGAGCAACCAGCTGTCAGCCATGTTTGTTCACGTTTTGATATTTTGTGGTGGTGCCTCGTGTAGATTGTTTAAGTGCCAACCATAAATGTAAAAAATGTGAGATTATTTCACAAATAAGTTCAAAACTGGAAGTAAATTACGTTCACGTGTCTGAATATTTTCCCAATGAAAATATTTCAATTCTAGGTGCAAAAATGTCACATAAATTGCCCCTTTTATAAATACATCAAGTTCAATCTACTTGATGTGGCCCAGTCCGAGCAGCACACCTGTCTCACCTGTGTGATGAGGATGTCCTCCTCTGCCTCCTCCTTGCCTGTGGTCCTGAGTCTGGCCAGGATGGAGCGCCGTCCTGAGTCTTCTCTCTCCAGCTTCATCTCACTGGGCTGCTAGCTGGGCCTGGAGGGGAGAAACATCGGGAAAACTGAACTATAAGACTAGTACACTGTATGATCACAACTAGAGTACAACGACCTCACACCGATGTTAACAGAATTCTCCTGTTTTTCAGGTACATACATGTAGGTACGAGTGCAACAAATAGTAGGCCATGGTGAACTCTTGAACACCTTGTTGTCTGTAACTAGGGTGTACATGTATATACTACATGTAAACATAAAGCAACCTGATACAGCAGTCTCTCTATATTGGTCCATTTCTTAGACTAAGACACCACACATTAAACATAGTTAAACCTCTTATTTGATAAGAGAGATCAAATCTGCTCCTCCTACCTAACCACAAACAGGTGTTACTTTGTTGTTTACATGGATTTGTCCCTACTAAACAGTCCAGTAACATGACACTGTATGAAAAGATCACATAACAAATTGATCATAAATCGACTAGGTATGGTCATCAAAGAAACTAAACATAGAAACCCTTGCATCGATTCCAGCTCGGTATTATCAGAGACACGATTTAAAGATGGATATAAGATATTATCTTTCTTTAATAAAGTTTTATGTATCAAGCTATCGGGTGTTCCTCTAGCCAAAAGTTTGCTACCATATAAAGTTACAGGGTGTGGTTTTGGGGGTGTGGCTACGAGAAAAGTTTGATATGTTTACCCAATTGATTTTAGATTGGATGGTAATATCAATACCAATATATGATTGCATGTGATATGATATAATTCTTTTTCATTTATAAAAACATTTATTCCAGCTGACAGCTAGGCTAAAAGCAAATTGTTCCTAGCCCTTAGAAACCTCTAACATGTAAGTCTAAGAACAGTAATATGAATTGTAAAGGCCCAGGAGCCATGCCAAAGCCAGGCTAAGGCCAGTGATATCCCTTTCAGCGTGTTCTGCTTGACTTCCCTCTTCACCATAGCCGTTAAACCATCCATCACATTTCACATCAGCCAACCGCGGAGTCTGTTTACGTTTGTTTGTTTGGAGTCGCCGTGGCGACGGTTCTTGTGAGGACACCTGAACCACTCCTGTCTTCCCGCGGTCGTTGCGCGCTATTTGTTCCGCTGCGCTGAGGCAGGTGTACAGCATATAAACCCGAGTAAGAGTACACAGTGCTGAAAGGTTTATAGTGGGTATGGAAGACAGCTGACTAGGATTTTGCCGGGAAACATTATAAATGTTAACCTAGCTCCTTGGTGAAGGTAATAACAAAGAATAAAAACAAAGTTATGTGGACAGAATTATTATACATAATTTCTGGACAAATAAATTGTAAAAAAAATGCATGTTTCTATGCAGCTTCATACCTGGTTTCAGGATCCATGATTTCATTGTCTAATTCTAATGCAATAATAACATTTTGGACCACCTGCAATTATTGCAGACTGTTTTAATTTTTCTAAAGCTTCAAATTGCCTTCAATGGCTTGATCACAAATTCTAGTTTTAATGGGCCCTTTAGCTGTGCTGTGCACACTGGTGTGTCTGAAATAAACTGGGCATACAGGCTACTCAAACTGACTCTAACTGCAAAACAATGAGTCAAACAAGTCTATTACTGACCCCCTACTGTGTAAAAGGTGAGGTAATTATGTGGGAGACTGTCAATAACCAGTCATTGTGAAGTATTCAAAATGTCACTTGAGAAGATGAATGGATAAGATCAGCATCTGCCACTTCTAATTAAGAGATACCTCAATGAACAGGCATGTCATTAAAACAAGTTTATCTTCTTCAGTGAACTTTGACCCAGTGCTGACATAACAGGTGTAGAAAAATCATATCTACAGCTATTGGGGCAGATATTAGCTGATGAAGACCGAGAGATTCAGTTGAAAATTCCAATGATCCAATTCCAATTTTAGTTGTAGAACAGTTTAGCTTTCATTATGGGTCTATGGTTACCTGTCGGCTGGGTGCTTAGGCTGTATTGCATCCAAGTTTCTGTATGATCCAGTTTTTATAGTCTTGAGAGAAATCTGAGAACCATTAACTTAAATTAGTGTGGCCTAATCTAATCAATAGCCTCCAAATTTCTATTTCAGTAACTTTTTTTCCAGACAAAATTATTTTGCAGTTGTCTATAATTTGCAAATTTGGTAAAGTCACTAATAAAGCAAGCTCATGACTGCTGACTCTGAGGCCAAGCAAAGAACTCTGCCCTTCACTGAATGGCACTCAACAAGTTGAAGTACTTACTGTAAATTTCTTTGTATAAACTATGACCCAATTCTTAAGGAGGTGCAAAAGAATCTATTATAATGCCAATGGCTGTTCATATATCATGATGAGGTCAATTTGAATGTGCTTTTCCAACATACAATGTATGTTAAGTACCTGAAGCATTTTTCAGGAGTGAGCAGTGCCATTGTGAATTTTTCACCCATGAAAGTCATTATGTGTTGAAGCCCCTAAAGAGGTGGAAATTATATAATTATATGTGTAAAGTATTTCTCTATGCTGTGGGACACAGGTTAACCCTTTGTGGCGTATTGCTCATTTCCAAGCAGCTGTTACAAAATGTGATAACGAATGAGAAGCCAATGTTGGCTAAACTCCTCAATGGACTGTAAATTAAACTGAACTGTTATGTACTGTTTTGATTTTAGAGCAGTCTCACCTTTAACGATTCTGCACAATAATGCTGTTTTTAGTGTCCTTGATGTTAAACCACCACGCTATATTTATAGTATGGAAAGCCATGTCGACAATTATTGAACGTTACTTGTACATATACTCTTGTATATGTACTATTATATTAGCCTACAGTGTTATTTTTACTGAGTATGTGGAATGTAAAATTCAGTGCAATTCAGTGTATACTGCTAGGCCGGTTTGTCCCGTGTTCTACCATTTACTACTAGTACATGTATTCTGAATGCCCTATTTTCTGAAGGTCCTTAAGTAGGGCCTTAAGCCTTCTTAAAAAAACTACAGTTCTTCCAAAGGATTATCCTCATCAAATATTTACACATCGGATTCCGTTGATCCTCTTTGATATTCTTACATGGATAATCTTCTGACAGAAAATCTGCCACCTTTAAGTCATCCACAGTTAAAGGTAGATTCAGTGGTATTAAGATTCAATGGTCTTTTGTTGAAAATGTGAAAAACTGCAAAATTCAACCAGAATATAGACCTAGGGACCAGCTTACGTCAATTATTGCATTACACGTTACAATACTTTCAAACATTAAGCAGGATTGGATATATTTTAAATGCCACTGTTATTGTGCAATAGCTCTGATAACCTGACACCTGGGCAATGTAAACACTTTTGACATAATAGTTACCTAACAAAAAACACCTAACACATAGTATGTACACCCTACTTAGAATTGGGGAAAACCCAAGAATTTTTTTGTAGCCACATATACCTATATATAGATATAACGTTTAATATGGTTGGACAAAAGATGTGATCATGTTGAGAAACGCAAATGGAACACATCAAAACATGTTTTAACATCTGTGTAGGTGAATTGCCAAAATTAAGATTTGCATAAATGAATTTCCAAATCTACTGCAGATAGTGTTCCAATCCTAAATATTGTTTCTCTAGAAAAAACCTTGGAATTGCTGCTTGAAGGCACAGTATGCAGTATTCAAGTAAAAACACCTTGAAAATCGAACACAGTCAGCAATCCAGAAACACGCCCCTTCAAGAGGTCTTCTTTGCCAGTTTATACCAAGAAAATGTAGCTTTTGGCCACTAAACTAGTAATAGACACTTACCATGGACAAGGAGAGGTTGAAATGATCATTCTGGTGTCCAACAGACAGCAGCTAGTGGAGAAAATTATCTCGATTTGGTAATTTTCCGTTGTTTTGTCCATGGCGAAGCCATGTTGTTTATAGAACGATGACGCAAAATCTCGGGGTAGGAAGAGTCTACACCGACTATTTAACGTGGGGAGGTTCCGTACCACTCTTTGTATTAAGTACGAAAGAAGCAAACGTTTACGATCAACTTTATCAAGTTACAAAGTAAACTATTATAATTTAATATATCAAATGACATAATCTATCACTATGTGTGAATATGTGTATAAATTGTGAAATAATTTTAAACGCTGCGACCCCGCCAAAAAGTGGTACGTACCACGCGAGGTCACCACGTGTCATCGGAGGATGCCTGTTACCTGGTTGCCATGGAGACGTTGAATGGGGGCGGGGATTGGGTGACGTGTATGCTGACCTCTCGGGCGAAATAGATACTCGATCGGTCGGTCATATAAGGCCATATAAGAATGTAATCAATTAAGGGATCCAAACTTCAGTCAAATGCTCCTTGGCGACTGCGAAAAGATGAGAGCGAATTTTGAAGACTTACTTTAAGAAGAAGAGAGAAAAACCCGTGGCTCTTGGCAGAATGGGGAGAAGAAATCTACGCTTGATAAAGGTGAGAATTATTCAATGAAAACGATACGTTTAGGATCGAAGAAAATATAATGATGTAACAGTTGACCGAACGCCAAGTGGCTAACCGATGTCAGAGAACAATTGTATAGATCTGGACTTGTTGAGTTTAATGGTATTTTCAATTTCTTCTTCGAAAGCAGCATAGTCGAAAACGAATTTGAAATGATCCATCTTTAGTAGATCTGGTGGGTTTTTGACTTCGTTCTCATTAACCTTCATCGAAAGAACATCGCAAACTCTCTAATGTGCGATGGCGATATGCTAAAAACAGGGTGTTTAAGGAGTAAAGATATAGGACGAAAAATATTTCGGTACATTCTGTATGTCGACAAACAAAAATCTATTGTAAGGATAACCATTGCACGAATCTCTATGTGTTCCAGTAGGCCAGTGACCTGTGCAGTATTCAAAGAAAAAGAACCCAGGTCAATGAACTGACGGTCGTACAGGCTAAATGGTGACCCATGCCATTTGGGACGTTACATTAAAGGCATCCACTACAACTTTAGGGCGGCAATGCAAAATATCCTGGATTTACTGCTATTTTTCTGCTCATTTTCGTTATCATTTCATAATTGACTTTGCGTATCCTATTTTACTTCCCGAAATCGCTCTGGTTGCCTTTACTGTAAACGCAACGTCCTTTGCCACATGTAGTATGAAGGCTCTCCGCCTGGGCCAAGAAAACGGCAAAAATTAAGGAGTTTTGCATTGACAGTCTGGCTTATTAAAGGTGTAGTCACCTTCGCTGAACGTATTTTTAACCAAGGTAAGGATCGTATGTATTCCGCGTAATGGATCGTATGTATTCCGTAAAATTCGTATGTTTCTAGTAATTGATCGTATGCATTCCGTAAACTTCGTATGTTTCTAGTAAGGATCCTATATGTATTCCGTAAACTTCGTATGTTTCCTAGTACAATCGTATGAATCCCGTAAAATTCTGATAAATTCTTTGGCACCCCTGGATTTTGCCATGATATGTCAGAATCAACCGTCCACAGGGATTTCCCCAGCCTCTCCGTCACAAGACAACTGGAGCCAGGACCGTCCCTTGATTTGTTATTGCTGCGGTATATGCATGAAGGACGCCATCTTCTTCAGAGACCATCGGCTCTCCCTGAATATGGATGGCCGGGCACGATACCGACTTCTGGTGAACTTTGACCCACCATTGGTGCCCGTCAGTTCTACTGAAGAAAGCGACGCTTCGGTTGAACTTAGCTGTTGGTGAATCTTCCTATTTTATTGTCTGTATCTGTATAGCCGGTATAACCGCCTTTCGGAGTAACACATCAGTAACGAAAGTTCAATACTAAAGAACATGTACAATTCTAGTCAGGCAAATTTAATATTTGCAAAAATACATAACTTATGTATGTAACACGATCTTCCTTCTCACCAATCAGTTTTGTGGAGGATGTACAAGTACATGCAGGCATGTGGTAGCGGGCATGATGGCGTTCAAGGCATCCAAAGCGTACCAGATGCGTACTATGTCAACACTACCCAGGCACTTTTGCCGTCAAGTTCACAAAGATACCAAAGCCCAAAGCGATACTATAAGAAATCTTCTCAGACCAGACCATTCCAACCTTTACACGCCCATTTCCAGCCGCGCCGATGCAGGATCCAACCCTGGGGTGTGGACTGTTGGAAATGGCACGGAGAAGTTTTGTCGCAGTGTCACTTTGGGCTTTGGTAGAAGCAGTTCGCAGCGATGCTCAACCAGATGTCTAGACGTCCGTCTGTTGTCTTCATCCCTGCCATACTGTGATACTAGTAGCTAGCAGCTTGCTTGCCGGGACATCCACCGTGGCCCACTGTCTCCAAAACAATTGGTTCAGTTTTAAGGTAAGTGAAGCTTTCTTTTTTCAGAAAGCTTTAGTACCTTTGAGTTTGGAATTTATATCAAAGTATTTGTATCATCATAGAAATCATAGCCTGGGTTCCAGACCCATAGAACACCGAACACAAAATATCTCAGTGAGCCAGGTTCACTGAGATATTTTGTGTTCAGTGTGCTATGGGTCTGGAACCCACGCTAACAAATCAAAGAACTCTTAGAACTCATAGAAATCTTAGAACCAAACTGTCCTAAACTACAAGGCTTTGTGGTGTATCTTCAAGGGACCAAAGCGATTCATACCACTGTGAGAGAGACAGATATCAATTAAGGTCGAATTTCTTCATCCTTTAGCTGGTGATCAGGCGTTTTAAAGCCAGTAGTATATTGTTACCGACCAGAACACGTAGACAGTCGACCCCAAAACATCGCACCTCTGCTTGAGGACGACCTGCGTTCTGGTCTCGCACGCAAGCGGCGTCTGGTTAATCTCCAAGCAGATGTATGGTGCCTGCTGGTTTTGCCGAAACAGGCTGGTCATTTATTTTCGTCTGCCTGGAAAATTATAATAAAATAAAGGTACTTCTCATGTAACTTGTTTTTGGACTACTAGCATTTTAAACGCTTCAAGTATGAAGTGGCGGTAAAATTCAATATCGACATCAGGCAGATTTCCTAATCCAGATTTTCTTGCCGACCTGCAATGGTCTAGTCTCCACTAGACTCCTTTGCAGGCTAACTAAAAAGTAGAAATCGGCCTAAAAAGAATATAGCTGGCCAGGGGTAGCCTCTACCAGGCACCGCGGATCGCTGGAAAAATAGTAGAAATTGGCTGAAATAAAGGGATAGTATACCAGAGAAGTGGGTCGCAAATTGGAGAGCTTCTATGGCCCTGGATCTTCTCTGGTATACTATCCCTTTATTTCAGCCAATTTCTACTATTTTTCCAGCGATCCGCGGTGCCTGGTAGAGGCTAGGCCAGGGGAGTTTGCCGGCTAAAGAGGGTTTGCGGGCAAACTGAACCCTCTATAGCCGACCAAAGCCCTCGGCCTACAGAGCTACCTAGCTACATTACTTTTAGGCCGATTCCTACTCTTTATCCAGCCTGCAGTAGAGTCTGGTGGAGACTAGATCTGGTGATTGATAGACAACTACTAGTATCCCCGGTTCTCTTCATGGTTGGGTGGGTTAGCGTCACATCCGGGACCCGTGTGCATCATCAGGTGCTATGATTCCAGTCTAGGGGGTCTTGTCGTGCAGAAGAGGGCTGGGCAAAAAAAGCAATGACCTCCAAACATACTGAAGCAGATGTAGGGAGGTGATACTAGCATGACAACCCTTCCCAACACGTACCAAGCCATGTCACAGACAAGAATACGCTGTAATCTTCCCTCCTAGCTATAGCTTCTAGGCTGGGTCTGTAATAGGATAGAACCCAGTCTAACCAGGTAGTGGGAAGGCCACGCCCCTTTCTTTAACCGCCCTTTCCTCGTTTGTTTAGAGAAAACCATCCGATGTAAACAGAGAGTAACCATGGCGGTTCTTTTCAATGGCGGTCACGCCCTTAACCACATTCCCCAAGGGCATGACCTTGGATTAAGGAACCATATGATTCTGAACTTATTTTTTATATTTTCAGAGCCAAGCATCTGACAACATTTGCATCATAAATCGTCTTAAGAAGTTAAGAAACAGTGAGCCAGCCAGCGTTTACTTCTTGTTGCCATGTTATGACACAAGATAAACAGAAACGAGCAGTGTAGATTACAGGACGACAATTCAGGCAATTTGACCCTGTGACGTCACGTACACAGACAGGGCACACTGATCAAACCAGGTGTGACAAAACCCGACTCGGAGGACGCCTGCCGACAGTTTACCTACCTGTCCACCCACGTTCTACTTCCTTCCAGGTAACATTGTGTTCTCACTGCATCATACGAGTCAATATCGTCTGTTTACCTGTCCATCAAACGTGTCAGACATGTGTAAAAGGAACTGGCATTACGATACATGTACAGCTAAAGCTTGTCATGCTTGACAGACTCTCAGTCGTGGTGTGCTAACGGTATTGTACTCATGCCTCCGCGTTGGTAAACCGAATGATAGGCTTTAGCTATGGCCACCTGTATCCATCATATCCTTGTGTTGTATTTGTGCATTATCAAATTTACTTTTCTTTTCGATCTGCATCAAAGTCCCAAAGCTAGCTCTAGTTTCTACAGGTTGATTTTTCCCACAGAATTTAATCTTCCGTTTTGTTTCAACCGGCCTATGTGCGGCCATGGCTGTTTATTTACCGTCGTTTCTCAAGGACTTTCTGAGCGGAATTTTTGCCACCTTAGAAATTTTCCGTGACGTCGAAATTTCCCGGTAGATAGCGCACTAAGTGCAGCCTACGCCTTATGCATTATTAAAACAACTTGTCGTGTGGAAGTGGCTTGGGACAAAGACGGGACGTGGCTAGCCAGCTAGAGCCAGATGAAAAATTACGGCGTTGGCGTTCAGTTTCGACATTTATTCTATTTCTTTCTGAGGCTGGGGGTGGGGGGAGGGGATTTGTTTCTTTCAGAGGAAAATTAAAAATTTTACTCTTGACACGGAAAAACGAATAAGCACAAATGGTACAGTAAGAAATGTTCTGGAAGTCACAGAGATGTAGAGATATGATACAGCGCGACAAAAGTCCAAAAATACCATGGACACCATCCTAGGTACTTAACCTGGCGTCTGTCACGTTTACAACTCTTCAGGCTGGGAGCCTAAGGATAACAGCGTGGCCAACTGAAAGCCTAAAAGCAGCGACCGTGTCAAAGTAGTATGTCTTGAAAGCTACTACTAGTATACTAAACAAAAAATGTGCTTATATGACACGTTCTGAATATAAAACGGTCATCCAGAAAACCGTCCCCCGGGTAACATATCTACGTGGCGTCTCGTAACGAAGTGTCACCTCTAAGCAACTCATACCTAACTCTAACTCTGTTTAAAAACTATGCGATGACTTATTTTTGTTACGAAGACGCGACCACAGGGTGTAAGTGGTTTACAGCGCCTGTTAGGGACCACTTGTGTTGGTCCCGAACTACTTCAGTTCCAGGCTACGTGCCAGACAGCGGACAGATACGCCTGTGTCAGCGGCAACGGCCCGTCCTTGTGTTTATAGACTGTTCTAATAGACTGAAGCGCCAATAGAACAAAACACACTGCTCTCCAGACAGAGCTTTAGGCTTCGGCTTATTTTTGACGTGTTTGATGCGTTTCTACCGGGCTTTCTTTTTTGTCCTATTTAACCGCAGCCAAATCTGACAAATGGATATTGCCTGGTCAATTTCATTAAGAATCTGATAGAGATACTGTTTTGCAGCCACCAAAAAGATCTACTTGGAGATAAACACATTAAATTCTACGCATCATACGTGACGACCATACGTAGCTTCGTCTACAAGCAGATGTTAGACAGAAGCTCTGCGCTCCTCGTGATCAAAGACACAGTAAAGGACGGTCTTTATCTAATATATATACCTTAAAAATCCACACAAAACTAGATAGACTCCATATATATTTTTTTAGTTTAGGCTAGGCTAGCTCTCATCTCATATTAGGGGCATATAGGCTGCGAAGGACGAGCGTTGCCCGTGGCAACCTACGTTCATGGTTGACTGGGTCTTCGGCACATCCGGGCACCGTGCTCACCGTGCTCACCAGGCAGGTAGACCAACAGGTAGGGGGTCTTGGTCGAGGTGGTTACACCTAGAATTTGGGTCGTGGTATCCGCCCGGGACAGGAAGAGTTACCTGAGACAAGACAACACACCGTCTTATTCCAACCTCGCTTTCTCTCTCTTATCGGTCCAGATCGCGACTCTGAGCCAAGAATCTCAAGATGGGTGAATGGAAGAACGGTCTCTTCGGTTGCTTCAACAACTTCGGGGTGTGCATCATCACCTACTTCGTCCCGTGTGTGACGGCCGGCCAGAATGCCGAGAAGGCGGGAGTTGGTGGGTGCGTCCCCTGCGCCATCGTGTCCATGCTGGGCTGTATCGGCATCTACTTCATGGCCAAAACCAGGGAAAAGACAAGAGAGCTAAAGGGAATAGAGGTAAGGAAAAAGTCTGGATGTTTTAGTGTTAAAAAAGGGAACGAAACAGAAGTTGCTTTTGTTCGGTAACGCCCACGTCTTTATTGATTTGTTCGAGCCATTTTGAATTCTTTCATGCACAGACAAAACAGATCCAACAGGTTTTTTCTTCCGTTTAAGTTTGAGGCGGTATCTGTGGGTGACCTTTTGCTTAGGAAGTGGTCTCTTTCCACACTTCCTTTTGGATAAGTTTTGCAAGGAAAAATTTCTATAACGTGCCTGTAGCAAAATTCCTCAGAAGAGAAAACAAGTTTTGCATGACAGACATGCAGCGAGAAGTGTTTTTGCACCGTTTAATGTGCTCTAAAAAGTAAAAACAGAAACGCGAAGGTAACATAATATTTTGCCACTAACAAGTGAAAGATGCGGCTCCACCCTTTTCAAGACCACCTCACCTCATTTTCCTTTCTTAAACCTAACCGACTGTGGTAAATCGTCAAGGGAACGTATTGTTTGGGACCTTTTGTGTGACAGTACAGTCGTGCAAAATGAGTGAACACTGCGCATTGGCATGGGGAATTACTGTACAAAGTATTCCGTCTGTTAAAAGAGACAGTAACATTAATTATGAGAAACTAAAATGATAAAATGTGACGAAAAAACGACAAGAAACAACAACAGCAAAACTCCTGAATATCTAAGGATCACTCAAGGATGAAAACACCCCATTCTTTTTCATTGCCCGGAAGATCGGTCTGTTTACTTTGTTGGCTCTTTCGATCGAAAATTGAGTTGTCTGTTGGGGGAAGTGGCTTCAACTCGATTATACACCTGGTGCAAACCGTACACCTTCATTATGTAAACTCTAATTAACTAACTAGCCATCTTCTGATGCAACCCTTTGAATCCTTTACAATCACTAAGAAATTAACTTCTTCACTGAAAAAAAGTCAGTTTGTTTTCTGTATACGTTCTTTCCTGGGTTGCCCTAGACAACAATCCTCCAGGCTACTAAATTTTGTATGGTAGACTGATTCTTTAGAACGTTCCGTCTTCAAGAAGTATAGGATATTTTCGTATTTCTTGTGATGTCGGAAGGGCGAGCCAGCAGGGAAATCTACATACATAAGTTCCGTTTCTTGTGGCCAGTCCTAGTTGGTGACTTCAACGTTTTTCGTTTTTTTTGTCTATTCCATGAGGAAGTGTCGGAAGTCTGGGTGGGTCAAGTAGTGGGCGAAAAGTATGTTACTGTTTGCATACTGTCAGGTGTGGGCTGAAAGAGGCCCTCCAACTGCAAACAGATGCTGTCGGTACACATGTTAACATTTCTCTTCCAAGATATCTATTTCTCAAGTCTTCTTTGCACGATGAATTGTTGATTGCAAGAGAAAGGAATCAATGCATCAACCAAAAACGTAGCAAAGCACGTCACACCATCGGCTTGGAAATTACAGCTTACACCGACCTAGATCAAGCGAATGCCGGCAGGCAAAAATTTCAACCATTCTCTACTGTATTTTGGGGTGGGGCGGCATACTTCAATTCGTTACCTCTACAGGTGCATGTGTCGCACAGAAAGAAGGAAAACAGAGAAAAGAGAATAAAAACAAGAAATTTTCTTTTCTTCCTCGACACTTGTCGGAAGACCAGCAATACTGCCCTGAAAAATTCTTTTCGATTCCGACATACACACAGCAGCATGCATTACTTCTGCATTTTACACCTATTCGTATCCATGTTTACCTTGACGATCGCTTTTGTTAATTAGAAAATATCATTACCGTGCAGTGATGCTGAAACGATTGAGTACCGATCAAACAACACAGTACTCCAGTGGAAGAGTGAATAGCCGTAGTAAATATACGAGGCGAAGCCGGCAAATATTTGCCTACCAAGTCCCAAGTGAACCAAACGACGTCCCTTGCTGACTAAACTGGATTTTACTCACCAAGTATGATACAGAATGTAAACAGAGAATTCTTTAACAAACCAGCAGCATTCAGATTACAATGCGTCGGTAACAAAAGACTTCACTTCTCTGAAAGAGATGAGAGTGTTTTACAAAACTACAAAGCTCGAACGTAATCCGCGGATTTGGTAGTTTTGGATACCGCGGGGTAGCGGATTGTGGGGACGCAAATTGGCACAAAATCCACTTTTCACGGCGGTATTCATGGCAAATATCAGCTGGGCCGCAAGGGTTCTCGGGTCATCTTTGAAAAGCCGGTTTTGTTTGCCACGTTATCATGAAGGATTCGGGGGATAATTTTCCGAGGAAGTCTGCGTTTTGATATTTTTTTCGAATTGCGTAGCTATATAGTGTCTTCTAATCCGTGCATTCTAATGGCACGGCAGCAGGAAACTGCAGCAACGAAAAACGTCATTAAAAACGGAAACACCCCGCACACTGCTAGTACATAGAAGCTCACATAACAAGCAAGAGCACCATATAATTAAGGTACCTGAAAGGTAGTATTTCAAAGTTTCAGGAGCGGTTGGAATAGTTTGCATACATGTGTGTGTGGGGGCGGACCGACGCTAAAGAGGGTTGTTTCAAGTCCCCAGAGGCTAGAATTTTGCCCACCCGTGAAGCTGTATTTTGAAATTTCCCCCGGTTAAGGCAAACATGCAGAATGAGTTGGCTTTTCACGTGTTCATGTTGCAAAATAAGCTTTCGAGGCCAAAGTAGAACAAACCGACCGTTGAAAAAAGGAGAATGAGACCACACCAGCAATGGACAAGTTGGGTGTTGGCTAGCCTCCTGTGCAGGCCCCGCGGCGGTGGAGAAGAGTTTTTAACGCGGATACATGTATGTAGGATGGCCGGCTATATTAAAATAACGCGTTAAAACTCTTCCCCACCGCCGCGCGGCCTGCACAGGAGGCTAGGTGTTGGCCACATACACCTGATGTACTTAGTCTAGTAATATACTAATGCACTATAGTTTGGTCTCATTTCTACATCCTTCAACATGTTACTTTTTTGCAGTTTCGGGGCTGAACGAATCATAAACTTGGTCAGAACAATGTAAACAAAACTTAAATGATTTCTCATGGGAGTTAAACTGAGTGAGGAAAGCCGACGGAGATGTCTAAAGGAAAATGGCGTACATCATGGCTATTTATGCAAGTTTCTTAGCCACAGAAAGAGGATACTTAAGTACACAACTGCTTGGAGAAGGATGTAATTACCGCATGGTTAATGCGAACAAAGAGACCGACAGCTTGTATCATGTTTCACACGAGAAGGGTAATTCATCATTATGCATCATTCACCGCATTTTGCGGCTGCAATTGCCCCTTAATTTATAGTCGGGCGTAGCGTTCGTGTACTCCTTTTGTGACTTAAAAAGATTACACTGAACGAATGTGGCTGATGCAGAATAATTGGTAAAAATTTGGCAACCATAGTAATTAATAAGATTGATTACTTAGCACAAGGACATTATACAATGTCTCTGCTTAGCAGTTGTCCGAATTCAGCGTTTTCGGTCAATGTCTATTGCAGTATCTTTGGGAAATTGTAACCTTCTTTGATTAAAGGGTTTCGTTTCGGCTAAAATACTGGCGGAAGTTACGAACAGATCTTACTGATTGGTTTACATGTCCTTAGTTTTTGGTTACCTCTGGACCCTCTCAGTAGATTTTTCCCTACATTGGGCCAGTTTCTACTATTCTTTTCCCCGCTAAAGCTGTTTAATGAACACTAAGCAAACTTCAGCCCAGATTCCATGACGTTGCCAGCTGATCCAGTGATTAACACGGGGTTAGTCCCCTCGAAAGAAAGGGACATTCGATCCACCTGTCCGACAAAGGAAACCATAGAGCCTGTAAGGTGTTGTTCTTCACGTCAGAGAAACTCTAGCTGCAGCGTGCAGGCCAGGTCTTGATGTGGCCCCCAACCACGGCAGGTCTGTGTACCGTCGTCATGTCAATATTACCCCGCGTGGCAAACCGGTATTGTCCCGCGCGGCCGCCTTATTTATAAGGCAAATGTCACGCTTTGGTTTTCGGTACGGCATGGAACGTGTAGTGTACACAATTTGGGTGTTTTTCTTGTTAGGATACGTGCAGAAAGGAGGGAAATAAAAACAGGAAAGCTTCGGCGAGATGCTCCACTTCCACACCTGGATTTTACGTTCAAAATTCTGTTGTTTGACTTTTCTTGTTCTGCACTTTTCTCCTGAAATGTATAATATACTTTATAAAATCACAAAGATAAAACAACTAAATTTGCATGTATTGCATGGTATTGGGAAAACAACTTTAGCAAATTTGTGAGAATTTCCTGATAACACAATACAACATGGAGAACAAAATAAGAAATGAAACTGCACAAATTGCTCATCGCAGAAAAAAACGGTAGCATTGTCGAAAAAAGCAGTACCGACATTGTCTATGCAAAAGGTCAGTGTTCACCAATGCCACATTGTCCCTGTGACAGTGTGTAATGACTTTTCGCTAAACCTGACACTGTTTTGGAGACTGTTGTCATGTCACTGGTAACTGGAGCATTGCTGTGTCAACCTTAGCGCGTTTCTCTCTTCTATAGGGTCTTATAATGAACACACAATGACCTTGGCCCTGGCAGTCACAGACAAATATTGGTATCTTCTTGTCGTTTTCAATTTAAAGTTTTTTTGCTAGGGATAAACGGGGATACTGAAAATGCACAGAGATCAACCCTTCTGTTTTGACTAAACAGTGACCACACCCAAATATGCAGTAGAACAAGGGACAGGAATTACCAATCCTAAAACTGCGTGGGAAATTTTCCCCAGGAGTTCACTAGCTATAGGAGAGATCTTGGCAACGCTTAACAGTAAATTTAGGAGGACTGATAACTCTTAATTGTAAATTCAGGCAGGCTGCAAGACTTGGTGGTAACGTTACATTAAGTTGCTCTTGTACAAGCATGAGACTTTGGAAGTGACTTCTTCTAGAATGGCCACTGTTATCTGAAATGTACCTGGGGGCCATTCCGACGGCCGTTCCGATGGGCGTTCCGGTGGCCGTTCTGAACGGTCGCTCATATGCCTTCTGATGAGCGTTCGGAACGGCCGTTCAAATCGGCCGTTCACTGGTATGTGTCAAGGCCGTTCACGGCCATTCGCGGCCGTTCGAAAGCGTCCGTGAAGCATTCGTGAATTCTTCCCAACGGCCGTTCAATGCCGAACGGGCCCGTTCCGAGCGGGCCGTTCTGACGCGTTCTGACGCGTTCCGAAGCCGATATTTTTACAGAGGGAGGCCCTAGTGCATGCATGGGTACATCTTGTGTTGACAGGTAAAAAATGGCGCCCATAATTTTTCTTTACGTTGAGGTGTGTATCTATTAATCTTGCCCTCGGCAGTTCTGGAAAAATCATCAAAACTGCATCAGAACTTGGATGACCTGTCACCTTTTGCAGTATGTAAAATATGAAGAATTTAAGTTAAGTTACACTTCAAAATCAGAAATGGCCTTGGTGTCGAAAAAGGGCAAAAGTTCTGAAGAACCTTATATCTTCAATGCTGCTCTTCTTTGGTGACAACTCAATCAGTCGTCTATTTTTGTGTCTGTTGCCCAAGGGCCATCCCAGTGACGTCAAAAGACAATCCAGTTGCCATGGTAAAGGTCAGAACTTTGACCTTGCTCAACGAGTCGTGTTCTATTGTTTGACAGGGTTGGGGGGGGGGAGGGTTAACTTCTCAAGATGATTTATTTATGTTTATTAAAAGGAGACAACATTCAAGTAGCTTCAACACTGAGTTGGAAAGGGAAGGCAAAAAAGTGAGCAGTTTCTGAAGCAACTACCTACCTGAATTGGTGGCCTAAAACAAATTTCACCACATATTTACTGCTCACTCCTAACGCACTGTAGGTCAAATTTGGTGCCTCCAGGCTATAACGGCAAGAAGCAGGTTAAGCTGATAGCCAGGCAACTTAATTTCCATTGGAATTAACACATTATTAAACTGTCAAGCAAAATTTTGGAGATTTCTTGGAAGACCTACTTGTGGTTGAAATTATCTGGCAATTGTCTGATATATTATTTATCAGAGGCCATTCACATTTCAGGTTGAACAAAAGTCTTTTTGTCTTGTCACGAAGGATCGGCCATTTTGGCGATTATTTAAGGGCAATTTCACAAATTATAGGAGGGTGCACGTAGTCATATTTTATCTGAACATTGATCTGTCTTTTTCTCAATTTGACAGATTTTAAACATTCCATGTTATGAAATAAAGCTAATGCCGGACTTTTGCTCAATATTGTTTAGCAATATTTTTCATCTCATACAGGCTTCCCTCACATGTTATATCAGTTGGATGTACAGTACTACGGTCACTGTAGAATGGTTTGAATGTACATGTACATGTAAGTTATCCTACAATGTATAGGAACTTGACATAGAGTCTTGCATCCAAAAGTGAAATGAAGAAGTGGAACGGTCAAAAACTTGGCCAGGGACCACTTTCATAAGACGATTCACTTCCATCAGCTCATGACCACCTGTTTTTGTTTGCTGGTCTCAATTTTTTCCCCATACATCACAATCATTAAGCATTGTGGCCAAGATGACCGCTTGCCTTTTGTGACCACGACTGGCCCATATTGTTATCTTCACTGTTAACTTTAAAAGCTGCAGTATTGCTGTGCAAGCACGTCTAACTCTCGGAAGTCAGGGAACAACAGACAATAAACCAGATAGTGAGTGAGAACAGGAATATTTGTACGGTGAAAACCTTGGTCCAGCGACCACTTCAATAAGACAATCCACTTCCATCGGCTCATGAGAAGCTTGATTTTTTCCGCCATAGATCACAAGGATTGTGATCAAGATCACTAATCTCCAAGTAGATGTTTTGGTGGTCGCAAAAGACAGCATCAAATTGGCCAGGCAGTATCCATTTGCAAATGGATATTGACTAGCAAATGGTTACTGCCTGGCCAATTCATTACTGTCTTTTGCGGCCACCGAAACATCTTGATCTTACAAGATGACTCACTCGTCTTTTGTGACCACAATCATGGTATTTTCCCATGCGACTGTTAACCTCGTCCGTTTTGTGTTTTCAGGGCAGTTTCGTGATGGACTGTGTGATGTCCTGGATCTGTCCACTCTGCTCCCTCGTTCAAGTGGCTCAGGTAAGCAACAACTTCGCCTTCCTGGAACTGGGACAAAAAACACATAACAGTGATCACTTTGTAACACTGACAGTTTGTAGTACCTCATCTGTATTGTATACTAGACCATTGGTAACTCTCCGTGTTGGAACCACTGTAAGAAACAGGAGGAGCGAGTAGAAACAGATAAAAACCCCTGGTCCAGGGCCGGGTTCAAACCCACGACCTCCCAGGCACCAGCTTCAAATGCCGATGCTCTAACCATTCGGCTAAAATGTCTAGACCCATCAGCCGGGTCAGTTGGTAGCGCCTATAAACCACCTACTGTTACAACTTCCAAAGAAAAATCAAACTCTACTACTGGATAAATAGTGGAGATAACTTCCAGACGTTTCGAGTGACATCCGTCACTAAATGAACTGAAACCTAAATGTCCAGAAGTTATCTCTGTTATCTATCCAGCAGTACAGTTTGATTTTTCTTTGAATACTAGTATTGTTTTCCTGGCTGTCTAACCTTCATAACAATTGGCACAGGTTTCAAGCTGAGGAAAGATACGAGACATTTGAAGTTAGCAGGGGACAACATGTTTGATAGAATTTATCACAGATCAAGTCATTTAGTAATTTTTTAATGTCTGGCTCAAGTATGAATTATAGATAAGGCCATATACATTACGACTTAATGGATGACAATCCTTGTACATGTTCATGTGCATCGTGTTCATATGTAGTTTGGCCTGTTCCTCAAAATGAAAACTATATTCCTCTTTTTAACAGATGAGTAACAATGGCATTTGTATCTCAAAAGAAGTATTTACAAAAAGTTGGAAATAACGGACACTAGTACATGTACATGTATATATAGTTTGCAACAGTTATAGGAATCATTTGATGAATCGGTCTGGAAGGCACATTACACAGCATGAATAATAGAAATGATGTGCAATTTGGCCGGCACAAAGTTGCCATTGTTTGTTGTGGTAACAATCTAGGTCATGAGTCAGCCAGGTCACTAACATGACAGAAACATTTAATAATGCAGCAGCACCATGTTGAATTTGGCCTTCGACTGCGGGGTACCTTCATGTAATGTCTTTCGATGCTCATTAATGTGTCTAAGTGCTTTGCCAAACCTTGCAAGCTGAAAAATACAAGGGGAAATACGAATACCTGTATAGGTACAGTACAGTACCGTACCTACGAAGGCCCATAAGTACAATACCTACAATATGAATTGGTACTTATGGGCCTTCGTAAGTACCGTATCTATCTATAGGGGTACAGGTCTTTTCCCTTACCCAGCTGTGGACAAGATATTCCCCTCTTGCCACAAAACTTTAAAAATCAATTAACAGCATCTTATTTGTTGTTTTTACATCACATAAATTACGTACAAATTATATATCAGTGGTAACAATAAAGGTTTAACTGTTCTCTAACATGTAGTCTCTAAGATTGAAACATTCTTTAATGTATTCTCCTATCACAGGAACTGGAGGACGTGCCAGCAGGTGGTTCCATGGTCCGCGAATAACTGCCGAAAGCTGCAGCCAAGGAGATTTCTGGAGACGACAGACATTCCCCGCGACCGACTGTCAGGAAAACGTAGTTGTAACAATGTTGTTCTCAGCCTCCAGGATCATGTGTGTATATTTGTCACCACTTTCAATGAGAACAGAAGAATGTATAAGGCATAAGCACTAGATATATTGAATGTTGTGGCATCTAGTGTCTGAGGGTAGGCCTTCAAGATATGGTCAAGGCTTGCACAAACACAGGCCTTGGGTTTTTTTCCTTTGGGAAAAAATGGCCATAACTCGGGGCAGTGTCCTAGGACACTGGAGGAATTTAGCAGAGTTCAATATATCTACTTGTTTATGCGTTATTAATTGTCTGATGTGAACAATTTGAATTTCCCCTGATTGTTTTTAGAAGTAGAAATAATAATTCCTAATTGTGTTCCTGAAACAATGTTTAGTGATGTTCCCTCATAACATGTTGAGATTCTTGCTGTGTTGGCAATCATACTATGCAAATGACGATTTCCAATATGCTATTCAAAGTATAGATAGATTTTGTAAGATTTATAAAAATATGAGAGCATTTTCATAATTTTTCTTGCAGGAATATCATTGGAGGGGTAGTACATTTTCCAAGTTTAAAATTTCAAGCTCAAAAATTATGAAAATTAAAAGATTACTTTTAAAGAAATTGTTTTCATAGTGGGCAAAAAAGACATATTTTTTTCAGGATGAACTGTACAAAAAAGTGTGAATTGCGAGCACATTAAATTCTTGAAGGAGCCACAAAATTTGTCATGAATCTTACAAATAATATCTCATACTACTTGATGTGAATAATCGAACAATCACAATCAATTACCATTCCCAGTTACAACCCGAAGCTTGCATTTTTTGTTTGTTTCAAAATGCCACCTACCTGGATTCTGGAATCATTGTTTTGAAAACATCATTGGAAGTAGGAAAATCTGAAGAAAAATTACCAAGTTGTTGGCTCATGTAATGATTGTGTCCTGCTTAATACAACAGCTGCTGTATCATGGTAGTGCATGTCCACCATGTATTGTTCTTTTAAAACAATAAATCGAGAATCAAGGTAGCAAAATTCTGATACAACCACTGTAAGTTCTTTGTCATTGTCAAAATAAATTTTCCCCCACTCATTTTAAATTTTGTATTAAGCTCTGTATGATAATCGTCTCGAATTAATCGCCCTAGCTCTTGTGTAGGTCAGTGGAAAAGATTTAAGAACTTATATAATGTTTTCTCTACTCTTGTGGTGGTTGTGTGTAACATGTGCCTTTACATATAGATTGCTCTGCACTTAAATATGAAGCTGTCTAGACTCCCAAATGGTAGAAACTGCAATGTGCCTTATAAACATACTTTAACGTTTCATTACTATCTGGACTTAAGATCAGAAGTGGCAGCTACAGAAGTTAAAATGTAAGCAGTCATCTAGTGAAATATGTACAAACAATGCAGATAAAGATTCAGCTACAGATGTCCTTGTGCAAGAGTGTATTTCAGACGGCTTTCTCATTTGAGAAAAAAAAGGCGGTAACCAGAGGCAGAAATTTACATGTACACCTGAACAGATGTACAATATTTTACCAAAAGTTACTGTTCTGCTGAGGTGACTAGACAGGCCCATATCTAAGTGCAGAGCTCTTTTTGTAGGGAATATACATTTGTAACTCGTTACCTCTTTGCTTGGAATGACCAAATCTACTGAGTTTGAATTAAACAATTTCACATAAACTCCTGTAGACTCTTTTGTACATTTTGTGCAAAATTTTTGTCAGTTGAAAGAGGCAAACTGGCTAGAATTGCAGGGACAGCTAGTTATAAGAGCTACATGTATTACAGAGACCAAAGCGGAAGCATATAAGTCTAAAATTGTCAACCATCAAATACATGAATACAACAATATAATAGTATCCCCACTGCAAAATTGCAGGTTCAAAACATCCATTGAATGAAAATGGTGTGTCCTTAACAACCCATATTGTAATCTCCCAAACACTGCATTCACCAGCTGTTACATGAATGATTATGTATGCATGTCAAGGATGAAGCAATTTTCCCCGAAAATTACAGTATGTTAGGGACAGACCATGATACACACCTGTATGGGTTGTATGTATGAACCTGGAAAAAAATCCAACGATTGAACAAGACAATATAAAACATATTGGAAAGTGGACTGGAAAGAAAAGTAGAGCAGATTTAGGATTAGTAATTCAAATGAACTTCACTAAGTTACTAGTAACTAAGGAAGAAAATAGCAGGGGAAAAAATACTCACCCACAAAACATTGCTCCTGGTCCATCCCTTCGTACAATTACACACTGATCGTGTGTTTATGTTTTGTGTACCAGTTGCTACTGGAGGCCTAACTACTTTTAGCCTGGTATCCAGTCTGATCGTGATTGGGGGTATTGGGGTGTTCAGGCAGGTTGTGTCTTCGGGGGCTCTAATAGCTTCCCCCGCCCAGTGCAACAGACCGTCCCCGTAGGAGTGTTACGCTAATCAGAGACAGTATGCTTGGGGATTTGGTTTCCCCCCAACATGAGAATTCACACCGGGAAACCTATGTGAGGCGGGCGGGCCAGAGCTCTTACCGCCCCGAGCTCTTACGGCCCCGACCACGATCAGACTGGATACCAGGCTAAACTACTTTTCTTGCAATAAATTGCCTTCAACAAAGGTGCAGGTTAACAACGATGCAGTCCAGCAGAAAGAATATTAACTACACAAGAAAAGATCCATTTAGGAGATTACGGAGGATACATTACACTGCATGCCTCTCCTTTCTGGAAAAAAGTAATCTCCAAGCAGATCTTTCGGTGGCAAGACAGTATCCATTGGCCAGAGGAGTGTCCATTAGCCACCGAAGCTAATGGATACAGGACGGCCAATGGATGCAGGATGGCCAATGGATACTGTCTTTTGCCACCCAACCGAAAGATCTGCTTGGACTCTGAGTTGGAGATAAGAAAAAAAAAGCACATTTCACAAATAAGAAGCCTGGTAGAGGATACCATTCACCTTAGCTGAAGAGGGAGGGGGTGGTGCTGTCAAAGTCAGGAATATTCTGTGAAATGGTAAGAGAAAAACATTGCGAATGTGCTGAAAGCATGTTGTACTTCTATGGTTATGTTTTTGTGTTCTGGTCACTATAGAGGCCATACCACTTCAATATCAACAATAAATTACTCGAAGGCTCAAGTATAGCCTTAAAACACTACAACTGCAATAAACACAATTTGCCTTAATGTTATACTAGTAAATCATTCTCAAGAAAGCCAAGCAAGACACTCCTCAAGTGCAAAGACGTTTATTTGCACTTGCACGTCAACAAGGACGTGTTGTAACATACAAAACATACACGACACGGTGAGTGTACAAATATAACAATCTGAACAGTCATACATGTACATACTGGTACAAAAGCTACTCTATCTAACAACATGGGTAAAGCCTAACTAACTCATAATACGATCACTACAATGTACAATTAAACTTTAAAAGTTCCTATTTCTTTTATAACAGACCTGGACATTTTAGGGACCATGTGGTTAACTGTGTCTTGAAACGAAAGAAAAGCAATTAAATTTATTTCTGAAGCTTTCAAGGCTGAATGTAACAATCTAAAAATGGGGAGGGGGATACAAGGCATGTACATGTACATTGACCTTAGGAATTTCAAGACATACATGTATTTCCAGGGGAAAGGTACATTTGTAAAAAGTAAGCTGGAATATTTGATTAATCAACCCACAAGAAAGGTGAATTTAGTCAAGGGAATGGTTAGTGAGGGAAACTGATATTTAAACAGTCCTAAAATGCCCAGGTTTGCACCACAAAATTCATACTTCATGTTAAAACTTTTGTCCTTACAATTCATCATATGCTCAAGACAGAGAACAAAAGTCAACAGCTCCCCCATGTGGCCCTTTACAGCACTGCAGGCCACCTGCTTTCACGATTGTCATCCTTTCTTTTGTCTTACACATTCAACTGCTACAATTAGTCTCTAAAATAATTTTCTTATCATTAGATATTTTCTGCACATTTCGTACCTTCTACGCTTCCTCTGTACTATTTTGGTCTTCTGATACTGATGCTTAATTTTTCCTTTTTGCAAAGGACGTTAAAAAACGTTACCCATGGCACTTTCAAACAAACTAACAAAGTCATAAGTTAGCTACCAACATTACAGGAAGATATATTATACATGAGTTATATGATAATAAAATAATAATAACAATAATAATAATATACTGATAAAATTAAACTGTTTAGCTGATACCTCCTTGATGGATTTGTTTACTATCTGGTGGACTGGTAACTCAAGAAGCTATTCAAAGTCAATAAATAATATGGTAAAGCATCTACTGGCAAATAATGTTTGTCCCTTTACAAAGAGAATCAAGAACAAGAGAGTGCAAAAAGTCCAAGCAACTTCATACACATGTATGTATTCATGTACATACTGTATGACGTATAAAATGCAAGTGGTGTTTTGAATTCAGAATCTATAAGACAATGGACATTCTGTAAATAGAAAAAAATTAACAGAATCAGAATCAATCTTTTTAAACTACAGAGAAAAAAAAACAGGTTTGAAATGAGACTGGAAAGCATGAAAGCTTGCAGAGTTAACAATGAAACTACATGTGTTGTAAGAAATACCAGAAAAAGACATTCAAAGGGAGAAAAGTGATGTCAAAGACCAGGAAAAAATTTGTGTCCAACAGACGGAACAAAACCAACAAGGAGTACAACATGTCCTCAACAGAATTCTACTGTACTGATTATAGAGCCGTAAGAGCTCATTCTCACAAGTATGAATATACAAAACAATACACAGAACATATATTATATCGTAACCGCGTGTTAGTGTTAATACTCAATAATACAAAAGGCTGACCAGAAGGCTGCTGTGGTGGGCCCCCTTTCTAAAATAAAAGGGCCAAAACTCGACGAGCACATTCATCGTTAAAAGATTCACTGTCACGTTTCACTAGTGCAGGCTTCCATGAAGTTTGCACAATTGAGATAACGAAAGATTCAGGAAGAAAGTTGACATCACAATGAACATAGACTGAACATATTCCAAAACACTGTTAAAAAAGCTTGCTAGAATAGCACTGTTAGTGATACTGCCTTAGGGTAGTAGAACACTGTGAGACCTTCAATTAGGACGAACAAGTTCACCTAATCTGTAAGCAATAAGTTATAACAGTTCTGCCCAAAGAAACCAAACCAAGTCTGTTCAGACCATACATTCAGACACATTGCCAACATGGATCCATCAAATCAAGCACTTCCGGCTACTTAAAAATCTTGTACATAACATCTGATTAACATCATACCAACATACTAACCTCAAAGGCTCATTCAGTTGGGCTTGAGCTCTAACCTTATTGGAATACCTCCTCCCATGCTGTTTTACATTTGCACAAAATGTGCCCCCCTCCCCCATAAGGAATGACCTTGACTCTGCTTGTATAGAACCCTTCTTAAGCTGCTAGAATTCTTTCTCTTTTTTCACTTCACAACATAGCTTTCCTTCAGACTCCCTTATTTGACCGATTTTGGAGAATTTGAACACACATAGGGGACACTTGCCTCCATTCTTGTAACCCAACACTATGTTACATGTATTCTAGCTGAGGGCACATTGTCTCGCACCATGGATCTGTCTTTGGGCTCTTTCTTGAAAGAAAATCTAAGAAACAATTAATAGGAAATTGGTGAGGACTGAGACTGTATTTTTGGACTTCTATATATAGATTCCACAACACTTGCTTACAGAGAAAGGCACAGGACATCATACAATAACTGCCCCTTGCTGGTCCTAGCATCTCTCCACAAAGAATCAACCACAATCCTCAAAATCTTTCTCCGTAATTTTTCCCTGTCCTTTTAGTAAGGGGATGCACAAATACGACATTTTTTTCTTCACTAGAGGACATTGCATACATTAATATACACGTAGTTATGTTGCTTTTTTACAGATATTTATACATCTATACCGTTGTACAGTACATTTAGGTCACAGTTAAGCAGGTTGAGGTTGGTAATTAAGGCATGTTTGAAGGATTGCTAAGAAGAGAATGGTTGTAGCCATGTCTGTTTTCATAAATGTTGCAGCTTTAAAAGAATGGAATGTGGCAACTTTGTGATAGAAACGTACAAAGAAAATTTTCTTACCAAGTTTGATTATCAGTAGTGTTAGCTCAAATTTAAATCAAGTACTGCAAACACAGACAATTTGGTTTGTGAGCATGATAATTTCAAAATTGGCAAAGAAATGAAAAATAATAAGAACTTTTTCATAAAAATCACGAACTTTGCATTTCTGTTAGTTTAACGTTAACAACAAAATGCTTTGAAGAAAGTTCATATTTACAACATATGGAGGGAGGGTGAGGAGGGAGGGACAGACATGGTACAACTATTCCTTCTCATAGAACTGGCTTCCTTGGTCAAAGTCACAGAAATGTCATCTTTGGTGTTCATCTACTTTTTGGTAGTTTCTGCTTTGGAGAAGAGTGAGTGCACTTTTGGGGTTTGGTAGTTGCAATGTTATTGTTATGTCTCCCTGCCCATAGCTAGTTTACTTGAGGCATTGGTTTGGTTACAGCTGAACAGTAGGGAAAACAGACGTATCTGTTGCATTTAGTGTATTCAAATTTGAAAGTAGGAACAACAAAACAGAAAAGAACATAAAATATAGGAACACCTGTACTGTACCCAACCATTGTCAGATATACTGGAATGCATGTAAACAAAATACATTTAGTATGTAACCATTCAATACCAGTGATGAAAGGTTGTATTATGAACTTTTTGCTCATAATACATGTAATTATTTAATAGATAAATGTGGATTAAAAAAACCAAAGCTTATGTCATAACTCATGTTCTTTGTTAGGACTAGCTGGCAAGCTATCCTGTGACTTTGACCAAAGAGCCTTGAATGGGGTTTTGTGTATAGTTCCTTAGTCTTTGGACTGGAGGTTTTCAGAGATATCATAGGCTGTAACGTTACTACCTGTGACTTTGAGTTTCAAAAATACTGGCACACACAGACTACATTGTACGCTTACAAATGTACTCATGCACTGACGTAGGCTAGGAAAGTATGGGAACAGCTTTGGTGTTAATACTGGGGTTATCTGTTATTTGGAAGGAGGTAGAAATGTTTTCTATGTTTGACACTGGAGAACGTTGCGGTATATTCATGCAAGCCGAGGTGGTGGTAAATACATCAATCACACTACACATTGAAAATGGACCTATTCGAATGTCTCTCTTTTTTTTAGTTTTGTAGTAATGCTCCCAGCAAAAATGAATGGTCCCTTCATAGTGGATCTGCCAGACAGTCCAGCCTAATGCCAATAGGGTTCAAGTTTATTCACCCTTCCTTTCTTGTTTTGAAACTGGGACAGTGGTGAAGAGAGTTAAACTAAGGGGCATGTTACTGTAGTGCTAGTGAACATATAAACAGTTACATGTGTGACTATGATTCAGTCGTACACGTATATTTCCACAGTTGTCCAAGTTCTGAAGAACGTTGCTCCTCTCTACAGGCTACTTACACTTCTGAACCCACACACAGCTGTAGGAGAACGGCCTTGCCGAGTCATTGTTTTTCTTCACCTTAACTTTTTTTAACGATTTGCAGGGAGCATCACTGTGATGAGAGGAAGGTTGAGACAAGCCTTAGCGAGGTTGAAGGTGAGAAAACTTATCGACATCTGGGAAGCTTCACGGTGAGAGGCTTCCTGACGTCAAGTCTTGCGCCGTGAGGTTGTCAGTGGTGATCGTGGGTGAGGTCACAATGGCGGTGACCTGAGAGTTCATGACCTGTTGCGCCAGGCTGACCTGCTGTGCCAGGCTGACCTGTGGCCCCAGACCGACCTGCGACCCCAGGCTGACCTGTTGCGACCCCAGACTGACCTGTTGTGACCCCAGGTTGACCTGCTGCGGGATCTGTGTCACATGAGTCGGGCCAGCAATTTGTGTCACCTGAAAGGGAAGGAAAAAGTCCACAAGGTTTACAGTAGCGACTCAAGGATTACATCAAATCCTGTGTAATATTGCAGGATATCCCACGGGATGTTGCAGGACATCTTGCTGGATCTGCAGTATGCTAATCCTATCCTGTATCTTGATCTTTGGTGTGAGACCATAAAGTTTTGCATAGGTAATGAAAGTTCTGGCGCCACTAAAATGACAGAAAGACAGACGGTGGCTTAATTACCGTAATGTACTATCCCGAATGCAAACTCACAGAAAAGGCCTGTAAATGAATGAAAGACCTTTATTGTACGTTTGTGGTCTAACAAGCTAAGTACAGGTCATGGATAAACAGGGAAAAGAATTCAGCGATGACACTTACAAACTATACATACTAATGTGATCTACTATTTACAGGTTCAGCTTCTTCTCGCTTCAATAAACAAACAAAAACAGCTGCCTGCTTACCACAGCTTCGTGATGTGCCCCCACCGCCTCATGGTGGGTCTTCAGCTTCTTGATGGTGTTTTTGAGGGCCTGTCGCTTGTTGCAGAACCATACGCGGATCACCTCTCTGTCGTAGTTCAGCTTTTCGGCCAGTGCGGTCATCTCTGCTCCCGACGGATGGGTGTTCTTCTCAAAGTGGGCATTCAGCACTTCCAAGGCCTGGAAGAAAGAATCAGGGTGTTTTATTGGTACAATACTACCCCTGTACCTAATTATCTTTCTTTGCCAGTGTTCATTAAGCACTTCCAAGGCCTACAAGAAAGACTTATGGCGTTTCTTTAGTACAATACTAAATATGTTTCTTTACCAGTGGGCATTCAGCACTTCCAAGGCCTAGAAGAAACAATCATGTTTTTTTTTGGTACAATAAAATATATTTCTTTGCCAGTGGGCATTCAGCACTTCCAAGGCCTGAAAGAAACAATCATGATGGCTTTTAGTTTATCTTCATACAAAAAGAAACATATTCTGAAGTATGAAATGATTTGCACTGCTGGTAAGGTCTTGAGAAGGACGTCCTCACGTAGCTTGTTTTTGGCCTATTTCTAATGCTTCAACTATGAAATAATGATAAAAATGGGCTACAAAATGGAAGTAAATGTCAATATCAGACAGATTTCCTCATCCAGAATATTTTTTTTTGATTTGCCGCCCCGAAACTGCATTGGATGTCTTTAAGAATTACCTGTGGTGTGAATGACGTTCTTCTCTTCCTTTTCTTGGAAGGTTCTTGCCCGATGAATTCGGACAGGTTGGCGGCACCGTTCTTATACCTCTCCTCTGCCTCCGCCATCCAGCGCTCCAGGACAGGCTTGATCTTCTGGGCACTCTTGGGGGTGATGTCTAGCTTCTCAAATCTAACAAACAAACAAACAAATGAATAACTTAGAGACTTCTGGCGGTGATGTCTAGCTTCTCAAATCTAACAAACAAAGAAACAACTTAGAGACTTCTGGGGGTGATGTCTAGCTTCTCAAATCTAACAAAGAAACAACTTAGAGACTTCTGGGGGTTATGTCTAGCTTCTCAAATCTAACAAACAAAGAAACAACTTAGAGACTTCTGGGGGTGATGTCTACGCTTCTCAAATCTAACAAACAAACAAACAAACAAACAAACAAACAAACACACAACTAGGAAACAACTTATACCTGTACCTATACCTGAACCCATAACTGTATCTATACCTATACCTACACATGTATACCTGTACTATGTATACCTGTACCTATACCTATACCTACACATGTATACCTATACCTGTACCTATAACTATAACGATACCTGTACCTACATGCATACCTGTACCTATACCTATACCTACACATGTATACCTATACCTGTACCTATAACTATAACGATACCTGTACCTACATGTATACCTGTACCTATACCTATACCTATACCTAAACCTGTACCAGTCCTGTATCTGTACCTACATGTACATACCTGTACCTATACCTGTACCTATACCTACGTATACCTATACCTACTGTATACCTATACCAGTACTGTACATGTACCTATACCTACACCTCTACTTACACCACAACACTGGTAGTTTCCTTACCTGCATATGGCAGACTGGCTATAAGCTGGTATCCTTACCTGCATATGGCAGACTGGCTATAAGCTGGTATCCTTACCTGCATATGGCAGACTGGCTATAAGCTGGTATCCTTACCTGCATATGGCAGACTGGCTATAAGCTGGTATCCTTACCTGCATATGGCAGACTGGTTATAAGGTAGGTTCCTTACCTGCATATGGCAGACTGGCTATAAGCTGGTATCCTTACCTGCATATGGCAGACTGGCTATAAGCTGGTATCCTTACCTGCATATGGCAGACTGGCTATAAGCTGGTATCCTTACCTGCATATGGCAGACTGGCTATAAGCTGGGCCCTCAGTAGCGCTCAGTGCCTGTCCAACCTGGGTCTGGGTCAGCCCCAGCGAGAGTCTGCGGATCTTGAACTGCCGAGCGAACTCCTTGATCTCCTCCAGGTTAATCCCGTCCACCGTGCTCTCTGCTGAGCCGAGGATATCTGCTGGAGGTATACTGAAAGTTTATTGCAAGTCCCTACCCGTATGCTAATTGCAGGTACATGTAACTTGAAAATAAAGGATGGACAACAGGATGGGTAACAATATACATGTAGTATGTGACTACTCTAACTTATTGGGTTTGGGTTCTTTTTCTGAGACAGCGGAAGACGAATGATCCCACTTTTTCTATAATGTGTGGGTTTTGTGATGTTAAGAGGACAGTAGTTTCTTTTGATGTAATCATCATCATCACCATCATCATTTCTGTATACAAGGAGTAAGTCTAACCAAACCTATGCTATTGACCAGCTCTACATAACATAAGGTCCACCTGGCCATTGATATAGTCAAACCTCTACTAGTGACCACCTGGTCACTTTTTGAGGTGCCTTTGGATTATTTTTCTCATGATTGACCCTTGCATGAAGAATAGTGTTTATACAATGTAGTGGTCATTTGCCTATTGTGTACACATTCCTTGATTTGTCAACATAATGACCATCTGCCATTTCACCTATCCATGAAGTTAGAAGGAGATTTACCCATGACCTATCCTGTTCTTTAATCAACCACCTGCAGGGTGAAATATTCTTCCCTGATGGGGATGGAGAATCTCCTTACCTGCTGCTGCCAGCTGGGAAATAGACTGCTGTGATGCTTGTGAATGAAGCTGTGGGGAGAAAATAGAAAAGGAATCAAGAGGTACATGTATGTACAGTACAGATTTCGATTGACTTCACTGTATTTTATCTCTTTTATTTCTCTAGCAAAAGTTGTGTAAATCGTGTTTAAATTGTGATTGAAAGCTGTGGAACACACAAAATGCAGGAAATAGCAATATCTTCCATGCTACAGGAATCCAGTAGGATTGTCAAGCCACCTTTGGCAATCAACATGATGTTACCCTCAAACAAAATTGAGCTGACAGAAAAAATTTGGGGCTGGCTAGACCACTGTGACAGTCATGATATAACAGAATGGACAAGAAAACACTCCCTACGCACCTCGTCTCCACCTGAAGCTACTGTAACGCCAGGTGAGATGACTCCAGGTGTGATGATCTGTGTCCCGACGACCGTCCCTAAAACCTGTCCCGCTGCATTCGTCAGGACCTGTCCTCCCGTCGCCTGATTCGTCACTACGTGATGATGTGTTGCTGTCGTCTGATTGGTTGCTGCCTGCGTCGCTGCCACCTGATTGGCTGCCATGTGTGCCGCCATCGCGGCCGACGTGGTCACTCCCTGCGGAATCGCCGACGTTAGAACCTGTCTCGCGGGAGAGGCGTTCGTGAGAACGTGAGTCCCGTTTACCAGCTGCGACGTGACCGGTGGCGCCGCCTGGACGCGGTTTAGTATCTGCGTGGCGTTGGCCGTGGCCTGGTTCACCAATCCCGTGTTTCCCGCGATCAGCTGGATCTGTCCGCTGGGACTCGTGACGACTTGGGTGCCCGCGATCTGATTGGTCATGACAGGCGTGCCGGTAATCCGGGATGACGTTGTTCTGATGACCTGGTTGGTCACAGCTGTGGTTGGGCTGGGCGCTGACTTGGTTGGGGATGTGATTTCACTGGCTGCTGTCGCATGGACTGCAATACCTGAAACAGTTTTTTAAAAATTATTTACATGTAACTACAGATTGACAAAATAGATTAACACTGAATCCTAGCTTCTCAAGTAATTTGTGGACTCACCCTTTGCTAGGCTACGATTTGTAACACAGAGTTTTGTAAGGTGTCATATTTTGGCCCCTCCACTTTCTGAATGGTGTGGGGTTGATTCAACTTACTTTGTAAAGAAAATAACCAGAAAATCGACTTTTTGTAACATCCTAAGGTTACATAATACAGCTTGAAGAATCCTGTCAGTAGTAGTGACCAGATTTTATCAGTCCCTGAGTGGTCTTCTTGGGCAGTTTTGAGTGTATTTGATTTACCTGAATGCGCTGCTTGCTGAGCCCCAGGTGAAGCGACGACTCCCCCGTTGACGGCTGCCTGGGTTAACATCTGTCCACCTGTTGGCACCACCTGACCACCTGCCGTGGGGAGGGCGATGATCTGGGCCACCTGGAAAAGATAAAGTAAGGAGACATTTTCACCTGAAATTTCTGTATCTGTATCGGTATAGCCAGTATAACTGCCGTTCGGCATAACACAAATCAAGCTTTGCAGGCGCGCTGGCAGCTAGCTATATCACACCGAACAACTATCTGTATCTCCAGAGTGACTGGTCGAAAGCTCTAGGCGAGAGAACTTTTTTGTGTTGGACCAAAAGTTTTAATTCTAAACATGCAACTACCAACACAGATGAATTTTCACGAGACTATCTGCATCGTTATAGCCAGTACAACCGCCAAGGTTAAAAATAGCATGTAGGGACAGAAGCTCACTCAATATCATCATCATCACCATTTGGCTATCTTTTACTCAATTACTGTCTGTACTCATCTTTAGATTTTCACAAATGACATGTACTAACAAGTCTTGCCTCCCTGAAAAATTGCACCTTATACAATTATGTATATATGCAATTATATTTTCACCTGAAAACCTCAATTTGTTGTCTGCAAATTGCAGATTGCAAGAGGGTATTTAAAAATGCTGTTTTGAACAACATAAACAAACAAACAAACAAACCTGTCCCTGTTGCCCGGGAGACTGTGGAATGGACACAGGTATAGTGAGCAGCTGCTGCTGACCGTTCGGCCCCGCTACTGGGATGAGCAACATCTGCTGACCGTTCACTGTCTGGATCTACAGACAGAACACATGGGAAATAACAAGACATTAGGTCATAAAAACTACATAAAGAATACAACACGGTGTACTTAAATATCATTGCAGGAACCAGCCTGTTCTGTGGGTGGGCTGCAACCAAGAAAACACACATTTCAATGCATTATATGCAGAAATTTGGAGTCTTGACACAAAAAATTGTAACAACATCAGTTCCAATGTCATCAAAATAGATTTTTTACAAACATGAAACTTAGCAGACAGGCAAAAGTAGAGGAAACTATCAACATCAAGACAGCATGTTCCAAACATGACACTCAAGAGAAAGATATACAATGTATTCATCAAGTATTGTGCAAGTAAAAAAGTCTGGGGGTCAGAAGGAGCAACAAACATTGAGTTTGGCTTTTCTGTCTAAGGCCATACCAATTCAAGAATAGGTGGCCTACAGAAGACACTGATAGTTAAGAAGTTGGACAGAAACTAACCCAGCTACATGCCATGTTAGAGGCCATGTTAGCATTGGTGGAGGCGGCAGAACTTTGGGACATGCCGGGGGTGTTTGGTGAGACAGATCCTTGCTGCTTGCAGAGAGGAGGACATGAGAAGGTTTCAGTGCAAGTTTACAAACACACACAGTGCAAAACACAGTCACACAAACAATCACAGCAACATGTACTGGTTGTGATCTCGTGGCTAAGTTAGTGGCTATATGGTATAGAGAAGGGTAACCTTCTCAGCGGATGGCTCAATTCAAGACAAATTAGGAAGAAGGTTAAGTTTTTCCCCGCTGACTTGCATTGGGCATGTCTTTATTTTTTCTTTTCCTTACAGGAAAACGTGCACTATTACAAGTTGTGCACTAACCCAACCAGTGGAGGGCATGGCGTGCCCCGTGGAACTCTGGGATAGCAGTCCAGCCTGCTGCTGCTGAGGTGGGGACAGACACACAGCAGTTACCATGGAAACATGGCAGTTACCATGGAGACATGGCAGTTACCATGGAAACATGGCAGTTACCATGGGAACATGGCAGTTACCATGGAGACATGGCGGTTACCATGGAGACATGGCAGCTACCATGGAAACATGGCAGTTACCATGGAGACATGGCAGTTACCATGGAAACATGACAGTTACCATGGAAACATGGCAGTTACCATGGAAACATGGCAGTTACCATGGAGACGTGAGTTACCATGGAAACATGGCAGTTACCATGGAGACATGGCAGTTACCATGGAGACGTGGCAGTTACCATGGAGACGTGGCAGTTACCATGGAGACATGGCAGTTACCATGGAGACATGGCAGTTACCATGGAGACATGACAGTTACCATGGAAACCAATGAAAAAGCAACTCTTGCACTAGTAGGACATGTATATATCATATGTTCAGACTGAAGCTGAGCCTTAGTCGTGCCACTTTGAGAAGTACAAAACCATAGCAAGACTATAAGATGGGAGCATGAGATGGAACCTGACCCAGTTTGGAAGGACGGGAACATCAGTCAAAAATTTAATAACTAATTACATCATTATGAACTAATTACAGGGCTTGGGGCAGGAGCTTTCTTGGAGGCCTCCGGGGTGCAATATTCTGATTTATTGTTTCTTTCAGAAAGACATAGTACCTAGAAAAAAAACTCATTATACGAGGATGTTAAGGGAGGATGCTTAGCTATATAGCCTATACTGATTATTGAATTTTGTTTAGTCTTCATTTCATGCAGAGCTAGCCTCTTCAAAATTGACATAGCCAGAGGATGATTTCTGAAACACAACATTTAGCACACACAAAGGCAGATAGACAGGAGAATATACAAGATACACACAAAAGCAAAATTGTTAGATCTGGGAAATGATGTTTCATGATACGGATGGGTACCAGCCCAAAACATTCAGGTCTGTGTCAGTCAAACCTGTGCAACTGATCACCTTTACATACATGTAAGATCCACCTGGCCAATATGACCACTTTTTTGCTGGTCACTTTGATAATTTTTCCCATTTACACAAGCATTGATAATTCTGTCTATAGTGACTAACTGTTTGCATTGGTTTTATTGGTCCCCTGAGTGGTCTACTTGGGCAGTTTTGACTGTGTATGTATACAACTTTTCAATGAAAAATTACAGTGTGTAGACATTAACACGGCACTCAGAACAGAACAGAAGTCAGTCATTAAAAAAAAAAACTAAATCAGCTGTTCAAAAAGTAAACACCTGAATCTCACCTGTGATGGGAGCAGACCTGGCTGCTGGAAGCCAGGTATCCCAGCAGCCACTGGGGCCATCAGCATCTGGGGTTGCATGATGGGAACTGTCGCACCGCCTACAGGAAATAACAAACAGTTATAAATGTTTAAAGTTAAAACTTTTGGTCCAACACAAAAATTCTCCCACCTAGAGCTTTCGACCAGTCACTCTGGTCTTCTTCAGTAGACTGACCCAGAGAAGCTCTAGGTGAGAGAATTTTGGACCAAAAGTCTTAACTTTAAACATGTAACTACCAACACAGATGAACTTTCATGATAGTAAACAGTTATAAAGTTTCTGTGAATAGCTTCATCAAGTCACGGAATAAAGAGGCTCTTTATGCACAATCAAGTGTCTTGATTCAGCCAACATTTTGGTAACTGTCTATGTTGGCTGTGTAAAAGAGTCTCTTAATTTGACAGAATTTGAGCTGAATGAATCTCTTAATTTGATTCTGAAGTTTGAAATTTTCAGGATGTTTTGAACTTTCACAGTTATATCATGAACACATCACAAACCAACATTGGAAGCAAACATTCTAACATTAACTTCACAAGGGACTGCATGAGTAAGTAGTTATATTTTTTCCTAGCCCCCCCGTCTACAACCTAAGACTTTAAGCTGCTTTTAAATCTGCTCTGCGAGCTTCTATATGCTTGGTTGCTTATATTGCTTTTCTTCAGGAGATACCATCAGTAAGACATATAATTTGTAACATTATCAATCTGGACTAACATGAGAATAGGAAAGATCAAGTTAGATATAATGTCCTTGGAAGGATTAATTCCGAAATAGATCAATGTGTGATGTAGCTGCTGCAAGCTCATTCTGCATTCAGAGCTGTGAGCTGCACACAATGATGAAGAATTATAATAATTAGGGGCCTGGCATACATGTATAATTCAATTTTCTGATAGAGTTGAATATGTGGAATGCATGCAACATCACTGTTCTAGCTACAATACGAAGAAATGTCCTGCAAATCCCTTTTCCTCTTAACACATTTTTTACAACCAATGAATTGATTATTTTGTCCAAGCAAGGTACAGACGTTGCCTTTCTTTGCAGACTAACTTTGCTATAAAACATCCAGCAAAGTTTGCGAAAAATTCTGCAGACACAAGAAAGCTTGACAAAGTAATTCCCTTCGCAGTAAGAACAAAATTATGTAATCTTAAATTCTTCTTTGGGACCTTTCAACATAAGAACACATCAGCCAGGAGTTATATACACTAGTATCATGTAATCAACATGGGATGAATATACAAAAAGGTCAGGATGTGATGTAAATAGTTATTCTATCCTTACCATCACGACCTGCGGCCTTCGCCACGTTAAGAAGGTACCACGGAGACACTGCGAACGGTCCTGGCATTTCCGTAATCATCTATCTACCGTCTCTGGAACGGTGACAACCTCCGCAACATTCCTCCCTTCCCTGTTTTTGTCGCTGCGTTTTAATCCTAACCCAACCCTTGCATTTAATTTGCCGAGCCTCTACATAATTCATGTTCGCTATACTGTATACATGCCTGATGAATGGTACCTCTGCGATTATAAAATTGCATGCAAATGTAATTATAAATGAGCCTGCCAATTGCAGAATGAAACTTGCATGCGCCGGGCTCTCCCTTTGAATATAATTCTATGAATAATTAACGATGATCTGAATATTTCAGTGCAGCTAATGGGACTTGCGAGTGGGAGGGAATAAGAAGTGGTAATTTCTAATGCCGTACACATGAAATGTTAACTGTGTCAATACATCAAGATGGCTCTTTAAGAACCAATCAATCACTTTCTTACAAAATCGGACCTGATCTCATTCTGCTCGTTATACTGAAGAAAGGTCAAAAGCAAGGCATTTAAGTCACTTTTAATCCAAGACAAGCTTGGTTTATCTTCCAAATACAAGATTTTGTCATTGCTTTGTCTCAATTCATACAAGTCGTGGAACTCTGACCAAGATTTTGCCAGGAAAATTAGATTGTCTCCACATTTTTTCTAAAAATAGAAGGTTGTCACTTGTCCTGAAACATCAACAGTCTGACTATAAATTTGCACGTTTGTCACCTCAGCTTCCACTGCCACCTGTAAGACTCTATGGTGCTCATCTGAAGTAACCTCTTTTGTTTACTTGGGTATACATCTGAACACTACGCTGAGTGATGATGATTGTGTACGTGCTCAAGCCTATAACTTACCTGGTGCCATATGAGTAAGTACAATTCAGCAATTTAAAGCTATCATTGATTAACCATTATCGATTGATTGATTGATTGATTGACTGAACCCACCATCTTGTTTTCCGCTCTCGTTGTGGTCATTCATCGAGTGGACGGCGTTCAGAAGTTGGTCGGGGATGGACGAACCATCCGTTGTCGTGGAAACCGGCTGCTGGCCAGAAATCATCGGGTCCTGAAAGACATTAGAGATTCAGATGGTCAATTCCACTTTTCTGACATTAAGCATTGCCCCCTGCTGACACTTTAACATATTGCAATGAAATAAATGAATAAAACAGTCATACAAAAATGTGAGTTTCTTCTCAGTGTTGCTATCTTTGCTCAGTTGACCTGGAAAGAAACTATTTTCTTATCAGAAACTCCAGCTGCTTGGCTGGTTGGCAAACTGGTTGTTCATGAGCAAAATGACTCAAAACCTTTTTTACAACATGGGGTTTTCAGGTTGGCTAGTCTTGTTAGAGAAAGCAACTTGGCAACTTAGACTTCCAATGTACAAATGTAACTCAAAACTGCAATTCCTCTTGCTACTGGACATATGTCTTCAAGAATTGCAGTTGACTTGTATAGATGTACATGAAAATGTCCCAATTGTACATCATGGTTGTACTTGATGCGAGAAACTTCAGTAAAAATTGTTTAACGTCTAGTTGCCATCAGGCATGTTTTTATTAGAACCTTCCCGCTTCCATGGTTCCAACACAGAAGCATCCTTTGACCTTTCGTATGTCCTTGAGGATAAACATGGCGGTTTGTGTTTTCAGGAATGATAACTGGAGACAGTTGCCACTCTTGTCTGTCCGGGCTGTGTGTATGTGTGACAGGAATGTTAATGGCAGAATCTAACTTTGAATTTGGATTCTTTTACCATTCTTTGTCAAATATCTATCATATTTCAGCTATGACAGGGACAATGACGGGATCTAACTTTAAACTTGGACTTTCTAAACTGTTCGGAGCCAAAAACTTATAGGGAAAGGGCTTGCAGACTTTGTGTTTATATAATGCAATGATGAGCCTCTTACCTATAATTTGAAAAAAAAGAAGTTCCTAATGAATACACAACATAGTAGTGTTGGATGTAATAAGAGGTTTATGATTTTGTGATGCTCAAAAGTGTCTTTTCATCATGATTATGGTCTAGATTTTTATCACATAATCCTTTTACAGACTTCTGTGGAAGTTACCGTTTGCACCAAAACAGACTTACTTGAGCCTAACAGCATAGTTGGTGGGGGGGAAACAATATCAGTTCTTTCCTCCCACTCTTCATGCATGACTTGTACATTCCTACACAACCAACAATCACAGCAGAGTTCATATCCAGGGTCACTTTACACATTGGCTGCTCCAGGCTGGGTCAGGGGTGATGCATTACGTTATCTGAAGGGGAATCAGTGTTCTAGCTGGCGTTTGTCTTTACACCATTGGAAGGAACTTTTGCTGCTCACGACAGACAAAGGTTTTGCCAAATCCGT